CACACACACACACACACACACACACACACACACACACACCGCCAGCCTCCCTCCAGTCTCTGTGGTCTGGGACTCTAGGCCCTGCTGGTTGCAGCCCGTGGTGCGTGTCCTCTGTGACCCAGCCGTGTCACGGAGCAGCACAGCCTCAAGATACTTCTGTGTGACAACAGGGGTCGGATTTCCCTTCCTGTTTGAGGCCCAATCCCAGCTCACAGTCTAGATACATCCATGTGATTATCATTTGGCCCCCGGTGGGCATCTGCGATGCTCCCACCTTTCGGCTATTGTGAATAATGCCAGTCATGTGGTGTGCAGGCATCTTTTTGAGGCCCTTGGTTCCATCCCCAACACCATAAAAAATAAAGTAAATTCTGTGTGTGGTGTACACTTGTAATCCTAGCTGGGAGGCTGAGGCAGGAGGATTTCGAGTCTGAGCCCAGCCTAGGCAATTTAGTAATCTAGCAATTTAGTAATCTAGCAAAACCCTGTCTCAGGGCAAAGGCCCTGGATTCAATCCCCAGAACCACCAAAAAAATTTTAAAGTTGAGGTTACAGTATAGTCTATGAGATGTATAATAGCATTTTATCTTTTTAGAAAACCAATGTACATAGCTTTTTAAAGAATATTTTATATACACCCAGGTATGGCACACACCTGTAATCCCAGCACTCAGGAGGCTGAGGCAGGAGGATCATTGCAAGTTCAAGGTCAGCTTGTATAGTGAAACCCTGTCTCAAAAAGATATATATATATGTGTATGGTCAGGTATGGTGCTTCATTCCTGTAATCCTAGCTACTCAGGAGGCTGAGACAGGAGGATTGCAAGTCATAGGCCTGTCTAGGAAATTTAGTGAGAAACTGTCTTAAAATAAAAAGGACTGGGGATATAGCTCACTGGCAGAGCACACCTGGCTTTGATTCTCAGTACTGGGAAAAAAATCTTCATTGCTAAAAAATGTAAACATTCAGCTGAGATTTGAAAAAAAAAAAAAAAAAAGAGCCCATAGGTTTTTTTGTGTGTTTTTTTGTCTTTTTGAGACAGGGTCTCGCTATGCAGTTCAGGCTGGCCTTGAGCTCATTTTGTAGCCCAGGCTGGTCTCAAACTTGCAGTGATCTTCCTGCCTCAGCCTCCCGAGTTCTGGGATTACAGTCGTGTGCCACCATGCCCAGCTCATAGATTTGATTGGTATAAGATTGCTGTAAATGTTCGTTTTGAAGAAGAAAAGGCACTATCTGTGAAGTGTAACAAAGTGAGACACAATGACAGGTGATTTAAGGAATCTAGAGATGATTTAAATAATATAGGAGGAGCCAGGTGTGGTGGTCCACACCTATAACCCCAGCATTCTGGGAGGCTGGGGCAGGAGCATTGCAGGTTCAAGGCCACCCTG